TGTTAGAAAACAATTCCCCTCCCCAGAATTATCTTGTTAGTAAGGATTTCACAGCAAACCCACAATCATAGTGATGAGTTTCTCCACCAGTCGGGATTTCATACCTGCAGCAATTTATTGCCATACACAGGCTCTTGATACACTACTCTATAAGGAAACAGAAATGTAATGTTTTCAATGCAAAAATGAAATAAATAAAAGAGAATGCATAAGTCAGACAAATTCCAGAGCAATTCATTTACAAGTTTGCTTCTCTCTTACTTCACCAAGACTTAGGACTGACCTACCAAGCTGAAAGAGGCACTGGGCCTGGATAAACATTTTTAATTGCAAATCTTTGCAGTGGAGAGTATCAAGGTGGAGATGGGGATCAAACCACTTTGTGTTACAACTTGTGTTTATTTCTAAAGAAGAAAAAGATAATTTCATGGCTTCTTGCCTCTTAAAGCATATTCTAACAGTCCAAATTAACTTTCAAATTTATCTCTTTAAGTCATGATTGGAATTTTCTGGAATATCTAAGGATTTAACATGAATGTCCTAATTATTGTAGTTAAAACAGCACAGTAGCAACCGTAACTGCATAAACCTTTAGTTGTTAATTTCAACTAACAACAAAATTGCAGTTCATGAATTCATGAATTACATTGAAGCTACGATAGCTACTTGTAATAATTTCAGACTAGAGAACTGAGAGTAGATGTGAGTGTGTGTATGTGTGTAAACTAGTGTTAATATACATAGCTTCAAAATGCTATGATTTCATGCAAATCTAGCACTGGCAAGGAAGGTCTCTTGCACAGACTAGGATGTCTTATACAGACTAGGATGAAGTTTTTCGAGGTAAGAGTTATTCATGGGCAAGACTAATCTTCCGTGTGAGCGGTCACAGTTTGAAATATAATTCTCCAGTTCCAGGGCAGACACTGAGATGGCTGAACATTTGAAGAGACTGAGGGACATACCCTCTAAAGGCGTGTGTATACTTTTTCCTATATAGCCTCTATATAGCCTGTCTTTCCTTTCCAGTTTAAATTTACTTATGTTAAAAGTCAAAGTTTGTGGAGCTATGCCTGACAACATTCTTCTTCTCTTTCTCTGCTAGTTCACTGCTTATTTGAATATTTCTAGTACAAATATTATTCTCAGTGGCCTGCCCACCCCATTATGCTCACTTCTCTTCCTCTTCCTTTCCTGTCTTGCACTGTAGTTTTCAAATTTTGCTCAACTGGAGCAATAACTTGGATTTGTGGGCTCAGGGCTTAAGCATTAAACACAGTAGTCAAATCATGTGGGCTCAAGGCTCAGTGTCAGTGAACATTTCTGGACAAATTATTTTCTCTTTTCTGGAAAAAAAAAAAAAGCTTCCTGTTAGCCACGCGTGGTGGCTGATACTTGTAATCCTAGCACTTTGGGAGGGCAAGGCAGGTGGATCACTTTGAGGTCAGGAATTCGAGACCAGCCTGGCCAACATGGTGAAACCCTATCTCTACTAAGAATCCAAAAATTAGCCAGGCGTCATGGTGCATGCATGTAGTCTTAGCTATCTTGGGAGGCTGTGGCAGGAGAATTGCTTTGAACCCCGGAGGCAGAGGTTGCAATGAGCTGAGATCATGCCACTGCACTCCAGCCTGGGTGATACAGGGAGGCTCTGTCTCCAAAAAAGTTTCTCTTCTGGAACAACAAAAAATAGAGGTAAGATGCCTTGTTGCAAGGGCTGTGGTGAGGAGAGATTAGGTAATACATGTAAAACACTCAGCATCTTGTCTCTCCCATTGGAAACACAGCATTCGCCTGATTTCTTGGTGGACTGAGGTCTGCACTATGGTGACTGGGGACGGCAAGCCAAATGCCAATCCTCAGTCACCTTGCAATGAAAACAAGTTCTCAGGAAGGAAAGACTCTAGGGGTTTTTATTTAAAGAATTCCTACTTTCCAGCTTTACATGTTCCCAAAGTTACTAACACTTCTCATTCCTGAGTTTAAACATCAGTGAAATGACGATACCTCTTTGTTTTAAAACATACGGGTGGCAGAGTGACATGAATTCAGAAATAATTGTGTTTAGCCATGGTGTTAACCAGAAACTTGTTATACAGAATTTAGGAATGGTGTAAAAATACACTGGAATCTCAAGACACATTTGCTAGGAGGCCTTCATGGTTGCGTCTAATGTTAGAATGCTTAGGATGTTCTTAATAAAAAGGAACATGGTCAACATTTATAACATATCCTCTCACTCTTTATCTCTGCTCTTCCCATTGTCAAACACCCCACTATGTTACTCCAGTTTCTATCCATTTGTCAATTCTTTTTAACAGTTCATTATAATTTCTTTCTCTCCCTCTTTTCATTTGTAATATTAATGGTTATCTTTTGATCAAATACTATGTTCTTTGATCTCTCCCTGAGAAAGGTCAACCAACAAATGTCTTGGTTCAGTTAAGCAATGCTTGTTTTCCACTCCTTGGTCAATTTCTGGCCTTGTAAAATCTATAGCTTCAGGGGTCCGGTGTGGTGGTTCACACCTGTAATCCCAGCACTTTTGGGAGTCGCAGGCAGGTGGATCTCTAGAGGTCAGGAGTTTGAGACCGGTCTGGCTAACATGAGAAACCCCATCTCTACAAAAATACATGGATTAGCTGGGTGTGGTTGCAGGTGCCTGTAATCCCAGTTGCTCAGGAGGCTGAGGCTGGAGAGTCGCTTGAGCCCTGTAGGCAGAGGTTGCAGTGAGCTGAGATCATGCTACTTGTACTCCAGCCTGGGTGACAGACTGGGATTACACCTCCAAAACAAAACTATAGCTTCACTTCCAAATATGAGTGACTCTGTAGGTCTAAGAACCTTAGTCCTTGCATTGCCACTCTGTTTGTATAACCTCTACCATTTAGTTTGCTTTACTTTTTAATTAAAATGAATTTATGTAAAGGTATACCACTAAGCAATAATAGTGAACTGGTAGATTTGATATGTTTCATTATGAAACTTAAATTCCTATCTTTTTCTACAAAACTGTGTGTGTGTGTTGTGTTCTGATCTCAGGTAGAAGGAACTCAGATAAAGATCATTCCTATCCTCCTTTCTCAGACAACTCCCACGTCCTCTCTGATGAGTAGCCAACCACACTGTGCCCGAGCCTCTCCACTGTGGCTAGAGGCAGTGGTTTTCCTGCAGGGCTCAGATCCTGAAGAGGATGAAGGCTTTTCTTTACCCTCTGCCCAAACAAGCTGTCCTGGTTTTTTCCCTTCGTGTCTGGCTCACAGCATTTCATAACAAGTCTACTCCCTTTGGTGATTTCAGGACATCTGTGATCATCTGTCCCTCTCTGCTCAATCCTCTCTCCTCTGAAAACTTTCAAAAGGACAACATTTGTGAGGAGGTTGTGGCTTGCCAGTTACCAGGATCACGCAGGTCTTTCAATGCCTATGTGCTTACTAAAAAATGCCTGAGGGCTCCAACTTCAGGTGGTAGGGATGGAAAGACCATGGAAAACAAAGGACAAGGGAGGGGAGAGAGTAGGGTACTTAGAAAAGCCCAGTAGTTCTGGGATGCAAGCTGTTGAGTTGTTGACCTGCTCCGATATACCGCCAGGATGGTGAACATTTTGAGCAGGAAGAATCTGACAGTATCCTCCTTTGTCTTCCTTAGCAGTGACCAAAGCTAGAAACTTACTACCCAATAAAATTAAAGAGGTTTATGGCCAGGTGTCCTGGCTCACGTCTGTAATCCCAGCACTTGGGAAGGCCGAGGCGGATGTATCACTTGAGGTCAGGAGTTCGAGACCATGCTGGCCAACATGGTGAAATCCCGTCTCCACTAAAAATACAAAAATTAGCCAGGGGTGGTGGCAGGTGCCTGTAATCCCAGCTACTCAGGAGGCTGAGGCAGGAGAACTGCTTCCAGGGGGCAGACGTTGCAGAGAGCTGAGATCACAGCACTGCACTAAAGCCTGGGTGACAGACTCCATCTCAAATAATAATAAAGTTTAAATCTATTAGAGGTGTCTGATGTGTCTAACATATATCCCAGGGCCTCTCAGAATTGCCCTAAACCTATTTATTGTGTACTGTTTTTAACGAGATTGAAGGAGTAAGCCAAAATCTTTAAGTAGAATCTCATACGACTTTCTAAGAATCTGTTTAACCATCATCTCTCTTAAAAACGAAGCTTGGGGATATTTCCACTCATCAGAACATGCTGGTATCTCAAGGGAGGTAGGGTAGTGGCTTAAAAAAGCACATTCAAGATTATGACATACTTCTAGCTAGGACAAATCTTGTTCTGTATATTCTGCAATGCAGAACAGATTTATATTTCTTTTCCTTAAATTTATGGTCATCAACGACCTCTTGTTCTGCTGCTGAGCTGGGCAGTGGCGCAGGCTAGTTTCTTACTGTCCAATATACACACAGACACACATCAGCAGCAATATGTTAAATTTGTCATCGGAGAAAGCAAAATATTCAGGATTCTACAAGAATCTACAAGATTCTAGAGACTTTTTAGAGACAGGACAGAAACATGTGCTGGGTAAACAAATCTCTAAATTCATATCACAGGAACTTTTTCTGCCACCTGATTGCATATGTGATTCTTCCCCTCTGAAAAATCTTACTGTCATTATAACATAAAGAGTAGGGAAAATGAAATTTTTGGCTGGGGGTCGTGGCCTGAAAAGTCAGAGAAGGGGCAGTTTTATAAACGAAGCTATCAGACAACTTAGGACTGGAAGAAACCCTGTCCTGTGAAGCTCACTTAGATGCTTCCCAGGCTGCACCACTGTACCCAGTGGGCTTGGCTCAAACATGAATGTGTGACAGACAAAATCTCCTAAAGGAACTAGACAAGCACAAAGGGACACTTCTGTGGCTTTCTTCTCTGAACAAATTTTTTTCCTGTCTAGTCAAGTGGTTGGCATATTTCCTCCTCCTTTGTGTTTTTTATCTATTTGCATTGCTCTGGATTTTCTGATGCAGCAGTATGCCTCAATCGATACAAACACACACTCTCACTCACTTAAATGAGGCCCTTGTTTTTCCTTATTTGTGGGAGCTCCATAGACCTTGCCTTCAGGCAGCCTCTCCTTCCTGCTACTCAAGAATCTGAGGCCAGCAAGACACCAGTTGGACATCTGCATAAGATACCAC